AGAAACTGCTCACGTCGACACTTTTTTAAACTTTGACGTCAATTTATTGCTATTTAGGACCAAAAACAATTAATAAATTGAATGCCACTATATTCGGGAAACTGTCCTCTATCTTTTAACACCAATTAGAACTTTCTTACGTTTGTACTTTTCATGCAATACCTCATTTTTGTCGAAAATTTCGGGTTTTTACAAAAGTTCGTTTATTTAAAAAACTGAGGGTGATGGAGCAATTCGGTTTTCGCATGCTTGTTCAGGGAGTGAAGCTCTACAAGAATTTCATAGTGGCTATAGAAACCCAGAAAAAAAGTTTGATTTTGTCGGACAGTGTAATCTGAAACACTTGTGGATATTACGAGGGATGACTGAGACTCGTTCGCGGATTCGTGGTTCTATGGTTTATTCGACGCGTTCGTTCGGGAGTAGACGTTTCACTGCCAAAAAGCCAGGCCTCGAACGTGGTCCCTTGTCGTTCGTCGTTCGGCCGTTCGTGGAAATGACACCCGATATCACTTTCTTCGAGCGGCCGTTAATTACGTCCTAAGAGCGCAAGATACCGTTAGTGACAGCGGGTCAGCCGCAGTTTACGTCCCTGCATATCTTGTTTATTTAATATCACGGTATCCTACGCTTTTGGCCGTTCGAAGAATATGGTATCGGGTGTCATTTCCTCGGACGACCGAACGACGAACAACAAGGGCCCACAGTCAAGGCCTGAATTTTTCGATAGTGAAATGTCGACTCCCGAACGAACGCGTCGAATAAACGATTGTCCGCGAACGAGTCTCAGTGATCTTTCTTAATATCCACAAGTGTTTCGGATTATCAGTGATTAATTATGTGATCAGTGTTTGGTGACAGTGCAGTGAAAGATCAGCTGTACGTTGTACGAAGTCAGTGCCCTTCGACATCGTGAGCCACAATTCCAGTCAGCAAATGCATCCTCAACTAAATGGATGAGTTTGTTATTGATAATATTTTTCATATTTCTCTAATAAACAAATCCGTTACGTCCCTTAACGCGATTATTTATTATTAAATTAGCTTTGCGAATCATTCGTTGAATTCTGTTCGAACACGGAATTATTTAAATTAAAATATCATTTACGAACTTTGTTAATCTTCTATGTACACCATGGGGTGTCGTGCACACCAGAAAATTAAAACGGCCGTCACGGTTAAACTACTTATTATTTCGGGTCCGAAAAATTAGTAAATATTCTTCAGACATTCTGAAATAAGGATGAACCGCGTTTTTCTTAAAATTATTACTGTCACGTGGTAAAAAAAATATCGAAAGTTCATGCTCCGTGACTTGTTCATTGATTCGAACGCGGCACAGAGTACCCCTTCAGCTGTCAAACTCAGCGGTACGAGCACGTGGCGCTCGATCGATCGACCACGTTGTGGTTCGCGTCATCGCCTCTC